TTATTGGAAAATACATTGTAAAGGTTTATCAGATTAGCCGAGAAAGTTCCTGTGCCACTTTCAGGTAACGCAGAGGTAGCACAGTCACTCAGGGTGTCACTTCGAGGTGTTTGAAGTACTTGTCGGAATACGTCACTGGGGGAATCAGACTGCAGTCTTTTCAAAAGTTAACATGCGCCATTGTCGAACTTAGACACATACATCGTTTTCAGACTTATCGAGGCTGTATCGGATCTGCTGCGCCCTGGCGTCGCCTTTGTCCTCTACCACTTCTTCTCGTACATGATGTGGCCGCCGTAGTCGCGCTGTCCCTTGGCGTGGCCGCTGACGCCTTGGCTGACGCGGCCGCCCACGTTGACCCTGGAGTTGCCGTCGCGGGACACCCAGGCGTCGCCGCTGCCCGCGCCGTGCACCGTGGTGCCGTAGCCCTTGTCGCGACGGATGCCGCCGCTGACCTCGCCGTGGCGGCCGGGGCCGGGGTTGCTCACACCGGGGATGTTGGGGCCGCCGCCGTTGGGCCCCACGGAGCCCCTGAAGGGCGCGGGGGAGGCGAGGGCGCACGCGGCGCAGCCGAGGAGCACGATGGCGAGCAGGAGGACGACGGGGCGAGCCATGGCGTCCTAGGGGAGGAGAGAGAAGGCGACCGACTGTTTAGTGAGGCTGCTCAGGAGCACAACCTGCTTTGTATCACCCAGAAAAACAACATTGAAACACGCTGTGGCAACCATCGTATGGCTTGTTCATTCATCAAGGGACCACTGTTGAACGAGGTTCTTTTCTTTTTTAAGGTACGACGACTGCCGTAGCTGATTATTTTCCCAGAAGACCATCCACAAGGGTGCTCGGAGTGCACACGGATACTCACTGTGTTGATTGTCGGTGATGCACTGGACGAAGGAGCTGGGGGGTGTGCCGGGCTGTGTTCGGCTGCTGTGGAGCGACTGATGCCGTGGTTTGGGCCGCGATCCGTTTTTATGCGAGCGAGCTGGGCCCGCGGGCAGTCCTCCCCGCGCCGCATCACACAGTGCCACGCCGGGCCACGCCGCGGGGGACCCCGCTTGCCCGCTCGACGGGGAAGTCCCTTCCGAACCGGCAACCAACGACCTGGTCCCGCCCCGTTCGCGTCGACTTCGGCACTTTGGGACTATACTACACTTGCATCCACGCAATGTGGCACAGATTTCATTTAGATTCGCGGTGGATGCCGCCATTCTATACACTTCTTGTGAACAGTTCATAGGCGTGTTTTTCAATTCATTGAACCGACCTCTTTTCAAAATAACCAACTGTCGGTAATTGATAGTGTATCAATGCGTTCGCCAATTTTTTGCATTTGGTAAAAATATGACAAATTTATCCTCGATTTGAAATAGAGCCACTCAAACTTCGGCACAAAAGAGCAGGGCATATTCAGAATCCTACAATCATTTTACATCGACGTGGAACTTGGCCGGATGTTTAGGGGGCAAACAGGCCAATATTAAACTAAAAGTTCATTTTTTGCGATTTTGCTGGAGTCTTAAATTACCGTAAACTTTAAGTGGCTACAACTTTGAACGCATTTGAGACTCAGCAAGAAGACCTTGGTGGCACGTACTATTAAGGTATTTAGCCTACCAATGGAATCCAAACCTGTCAACGGATTGAGCGGGATTGAGGAACGATCGGCGTTTTAGTTAGTTCGCGTTTTAGACAGTACAAAAACAACAACAAAAAAACTAAGTATACGAATACGCACCACAGTTTAACTTTGTCTTATCAGAGGACACTTTTATATTCTTATATTTTAATCAAAATGGAACAAAGAATCCAGGTTCTCCCCACCAATCTTTTAAAATTCATCAGTCGTTTTTTTGAACGGGCTGACGCACGCTTAAATGCTCGCCTCAATGCAGTTCAGTATAACTAAAATTCAAAGCATGGGGGCCTATAGGATACCATGTTATTTATCGTGAAAATTTTTGGCATTCGGGAAAGCGAATCTGGATCAAAGAGAAATCACGCGGGGAATATCAGGGAAGAAAATAGAAATCAACCGTCAGGAGCCAGACCACGCGAGACACCGGTAACAAACTCTTTAAACAGACCCATTGCCGGGGATCCCCCTTCCGTTTCGGGAAAAGAAGCACACACAAAGCGTAACGCGATAAGCCGTGTTGCCAATACAGAATTTTGTTCACGAGAGATATGATAATAGTGTGTGCCCATCCCAGGCGTGCGGCCCGCGCTCTGTCAGTTCCAAGAACAGCCGGGCGACGGCGGAGGCTGGGCCGAGGACGCAAGTCGCGCGGCGGTCGGTGCTTCCCCGGCTGCAGAGATCGTCGTCCCCCTTCAGTTTTGTCGCGTACCCCCTCCCGTCTCTCACTGCTATTGGCTAAGGACGCGCCGCCGCCCCGCTCTGATTGGTCGGCTACCGCGTCATCACCGCCGCGAGTTTTGAACTCGTCGGCGCCAGCGCCCCCCTTTCCACCTCCCCAGCGGTGTGTCCCGTCCCGTCCCCGGAGGAGGAGAGAGGCGGTGCAGGGGGTAGCCTCCTCCCGCCAGGGCCCCATATATACGACGGAGCGCCAACCGCAGGACATCCACTGAGCCCCCAGCATCAGCAGCTCAAGCAGCTCTCAGCTCCCAGCTCACTACTTCGTCTCCCTTAGTCATCACCGACTGACCTACCGCCACAAGTAAGTACAGCTGCTCCTGCAACGCATGGACATGACGGCGAGCCATCTCTTCTTGCACCCCTTGCACCAACATTATAAAAACGTAAAAGCTTCCAAACTTGTGCGCTAAATGGGCAGTAAGAAAAACTATAAGTGAAGAACATGGGAAGCTGTTTCATTTATTTTGCATTATCAAGGAGGAAATTTTCTTTCGTGTAGCATAAAATTGAAGTAATTTTAGTGATGATTGGTGTTTGCTATTTAACCCTCACACATGTGTGAGCTGCAGCTCCTAAAATTCCCTCGTCCTAGCGACGTCCAAGAGCGCTTCACTCATGTCGCCCCCCCCCCTCTTTCTACAGTGCGTGTCTCCGTCGTCGTCCTCCTGTCCCTGGCCGTCGCCCTGGTGGCCATGGCTCACGCCGCCTCGGCCCAGCCCGCCGCCGCCGAGCCGCTGCCCGTGCTGCTGCGAGCCCGCCGCGAGGGCACCGTGGGCATCGACGTGGACCACCCGAAGGGCGGCAAGTCCACGGCAACCGTCAACGGTGAGGCCAACGTCTGGAAGGGCGACCGGGACCGCCGCGTCGACGTGCACGGCTCGGCCGACACCCGCGGCAACAGGCGCGCCGGCGTCTCCTACAAGTGGTAGGCGATCGCGCCCGCTCCACCGCACGCCGCGACTTGCCCAGTCTGTGATACCAACCTAACTAACAGCTAAAATGAGACTGGCGGAAATGACACATCCGCCAAAAGTATTGTAATTTCTCTTATAAACTCGTCACTAGATATTTTAAGGTTCAAAAAAAGATACGGTGATCATAATAAAAATGTTTCCACTCTGAATTTTTTGGTTGTGTTAATGTTGGCTGACCTAACAATTCACTTTTTAAAATTCAAAGTCTGTCCAAAGTTACCTACATATGCAAAAGACCGTGAAATAAAGGCGTCCGAAGTCCGTTCGTCACGCGTGGTTTTAATTTCGCCCAATAAGGTGGCGGAGAGGCGCGTGCAGGGCCGGAAGGCTTTGCGGGCTAGGGGCGCATACTGTTAAGCAAAGTGAGGGCGGGAGGTCAATCGGTCGGGAGGTAACAGATAGTCAGTCAATCAAGTCGAGGTGCCAAATCGAGGTCGGGTCGGACCGGCCGGGCGCTGTCCCCTGCTCCTGCTGGATGCAAGCGCGTATACGCACGTGGTCACCCCACCCCCACACACGCACGCACGGGCACGGGCACATACACGCACACACGTCGTGAGGGGGCTGCCCCGAGGCGACGCATCAACCGATAAAATCTGTGCGGTGAAAGGGGGCGGGTAACACAGGGCGTGTGCTGCAACGCGAACGACGACAAAGTCGACCAAGTGCCCGTCCAGCTGCGCGACGTCACCACGGCTAGTACCAGTAGTGCGCAGTGCTGCCGCCAGGAGCTGAGCGATGGAGCTGAACTCGGCACGCCAGCTCCAACGCACAACCACTCAAGCATCTGCACCCAGCGGACGAGCACCACGACAGCCACTCCACCAGCGACCGGCCCTGAACAACTGGCCCCCCACAACAAGTGGCTCCCAACGTATCTGAGCAGGTGGGTTACGTATTTGGAGAAATCGGGGATGGGGATGCAGATTTCGGTGCCCCTTTTATAGTTGACTGAATTAAATTTCACAATAGACCATTCTAGCGATTCGAGAGGAACATAAAGAACCAAAAAGTGCCGGAAACAGAACTCATAAACAGCTTTCGGATCACATTTTAACACTTTTGTGACATGACCTCAAGTTTTCATCAACGTTTTCTTTCCAAAAAAAAAAAACGAGCCAAAAAGATATTAAAGATTGACACATGAGCTGTTTTGAGTAACTGTTATATTGATTCTTTTTGTTCTTCTTCGCGGCTCACTAGCATGGTCTATTTCGAAAGCTTCGGCCGAGGCCTCGATCAATCAGGGCCTCTGCCTCCTCCTCGGCTGACAAGGGGACTTAGGCAAGTGTAAATTCCCGATCGTGCCCAAACTCGGTATATTTGTTTCTTATCAATGTAGGTGACGAATGCCGACCAAATTTTTTCCTGAGAGTCATGTGCCGAAACTCCCTATAAAAGCGTATAATTTCACAAAATACAAATTTCTACTTTTGTACAAATATGTGTTATTCTGACTCAAAATGAGCGGTTTGGGGGGAGGGGGGTAGCTCCTCTGACACTTTTCGATTTGAGACCTTCCGTCATTTTTGGCCCAAATTCAATATTTTTCCAATTTTTCCTCCCCTAAAGTACCCTAGAAATTGACACACAGGAAAAAATACTACCGTCAGTCGTCATCAACATAGATAAGAAACAAATATACCGAGTTTGGGCAAGATCGGGAATTTACACTTGCCTAAGCCCCCTTGAGGGGGTCGGGCGATATTCCGCGTTGCCTGAACTTTCGCTAAGTACCCCCCACCAACCAAAGAAGTGCATTATTGTTTACCGTAGCCAGAGGCCAGAGCCGTCTGCAGTCTCGTGGTGGTGATAACGCTTTTGTGCCCCCCCCCCCGGTCCATGTTTCGTCCGATATTCCGGTGTTCGTGCCGCCGCCACCCCCCAGTGTCTAATTCTGAAAGGCCAATAACGACTTGCCCTCGGCTGTAAACGCCCCTCCCCAGGGGTTGCTTGCTGTAGCCGTTAACTTACAGGGTGTCAAGCGCCGACCAAACATAAAATTCCCGAATTTTCCCGAGTGAAGCGAGCGATAAATTTTCAAACATTTTAGGACATGAAGATCGGTTTTTAGAGAGCTTATCATTCTACATTAGTGGACCTTTTTTGTACCGTTTCCATTTCATTTCTGTTTTTATCAACCAGGGTGGCTCCTACAGGACCCACCTGTATGGGCGTCTTTTGGTCTTTTGGTCTTTGGTTTTGGTAGCAGTATCCATATCCGCTATGGTAAATAAGCGAGCGAAGCGAGCGAGAAAACTTTTCGATCTCATGACGAAACGAGTGGTTCTGATTCGAATCATGCTCTCCCTTTCTTGGTTTCTGCTGCGTTATCTTCCATGTACGGTTCTACTGCTGCAAGGCCAAGGGCCCCGGGTAGGACCCCTCTCCGCTGACGCAAGGCCCCGCTTCGCTGACGCGCCCTGGCGCGTGGTGGCCCTGGCTACAGTAGTCCGGCCCTGCCCCCTGCCCTGCTCCCCCCCAGGTATAGAATCATTTCGGCCAGCACACCCGACCAGGACAGACTTGCTACAAGAAGACTACCCCGTTCTCTTTCGCTGGTGTTCGCCGTTCAACCGAGAATACATAGTAAAGGAATCACTCCGTGATCTTGGTATTCGCGCCATGCAACGACCGAGTGGCTGCAGCAGCCAGGTCAATCCAGTCTTGCTTTCAGGGGTCAGCCCGCGAAATTTCACCCACTATTCATCTGCGACGGGGCTTCTGCTAGTGAAACATGGACGTCAGCTCCGGAGCCTCCAGCTTCCTGATGGGGACCTCCGAGGCAGCCGGGGTCGCCGACTTCTACCGCGGGCGCGGCGTCCTCGTGACGGGCGCCTCGGGGTTCATGGGCAAGGTGCTGGTGGAGAAGCTGCTGCGGTCCTGCCCGGAGGTCGACACGGTGTTCGTCCTGCTGCGGCCCAAGAAGGTCCGCGGGGTGCAGCTCGGGGTGCACGAGCGGCTACAGGGCATCCTGTCCGCCCCAGTGAGTACTTCAGAAACTTCTTCTTGCCTTCTAGTCTAGAAAGCTATAGCTTTCTTTTCGATTTCTAATTTAAAACGCAATTTGTGGTTGTCTGCAGGTGTTCGACGCCCTGCGCGGCAGCCGGCCGGAGGCCCTCTCCAAGGTGGTGGCCGTGGCCGGGGACGTCTCCATCCCGGGCCTCGGACTCTCGTCGTCGGACCGGGCGCGGCTCAGCGCGGCTGTGACCGTCGTGTTCCACGTGGCCGCCACCGTCCGCTTCAACGAGCACCTCCGGCTGGCCTTCCAGATCAACGTCCAGGGCACGCGAGCCGTGCTTGACCTGTGCCGCGGCATCCCTGGGCTGGTCGTGAGTTTCAGTTCATCGGACCCCCATTGCCCCGCCCCCCCCCCATTAAAAACCGCAAATTATTGGGAGCGCACTTGCACTTGGTAAACTATTTATTACATTGTTGAAACTCGTTCCCCAGGCGCTGGTGTACGTGTCAACCGCGTATTGCAACTGCACCCGGAAGGAGGTGATTGGCGAGGTGGTGTACCCGGCGCCGACCACCGCGGACGCCCTGCAGGCGGAGCTCGACCGGAGGGACGACAAGCAGCTCGAGAACGATACAGCCAGGTCGGTGCGCTGCGGTGGCGCGGGCGCGACCACGGACCTGTGAGGAGGGTGGCGTGTAAACCTCTAGTACTGAACATTGCGTTTAATTTCCAGCCTGATTGGAGAGTTCGCCAACACGTACACCTTCACGAAATGCATCGCCGAGAACTTGGTGATGGAGGAGGGCGTCGGTCTGCCCGTGGCCATAGTCAGACCATCCATCGGTGAGCTCGATGGCGTGGCTGGACCCTGTTTCAAAACAAAGGCTGGCGCTGGTGACTGAACATCGTTGTTTGCAGTGTGTCCGGCCGTGAGCGAGCCCCTGCCGGGGTGGGTGGACAACGTCAACGGACCCGTGGGGCCTTGGGTGGCGATCGGCAAGGGGACGCTGAGCTGCGTGTTCGGGGACGCCGACGCGGTCGCGGACCTGGTCCCGGTGGACGTCTGCATCAACCTGATGGTGGCCGCGGCGTGGGGCTGTGCTGCCAGCAGCGCCGCCGAGCTCACGGTGTACAACTGCGTGACGGGCGCCACCGTGCCGGTGACGTGGGGCCGCACGACAGGCCTGTGGGTGGACGCCGTGCGCCGCCGGCCGTACGCCAGCACGCTGTGGCTGCCCTCGGCCTCCTTCACCACCTCGCGCCTCAAGCACCGTCTCTGCACCGCGCTGGGGAAGACCTTGCCGGCCCACCTCATCGACCTGGCCGCGCAGGCTGCAGGGAGGAAGTCTCCGAGGTGGGTATGGCCACACTGCGGCGACGCGCTCAGCCCCGCACCTGGAGCTCCAGGCCGTGCCCAACAGTTTTTCACCTTTTTCTTTTCCAGATTGGCCCACCAGATCAGCAGACAGATGCGTATGATGAAGCCGCTAGACTTCTTCACCACGCACCAGTGGTCCTTCACGAACGACAATGTTCGGTGTCTGTGGTCGAGGATGGGCGGTGCGGACCAGGAGACGTTTCCCTTCGATGTGTCAACCCTGAACTGGGAAGAGTACATGGGGACGATCCTGGCCGGCACGAAGACGTACCTACTTAAGGAGCAAGATAACGATAGGTCGGGGCTGCAGTCCCGGCTGCGCAGGTAGGCCACTTGCATCCACTGGTAAACTAGAACATATATCGACTGTGTGCAAACAACCCCATGACTGTTTTCTCATGTTTCAGAATGGACGCGCTTTACCGGCTGGTTGTCCTTCTCTCAATACCATTACCGGTTCTTTGTTTCCTGGCCGGATCGCTCCACTCCAAATTGTAAATGTAGTGCAATCCAATTCTGATCTCATTGTGTTATTGTTTTTAAGAGTTTATTTAAATTATGTTGTCATGCGATAGTCAGTTCCTAGTAGATGAAATACGGAATATCAAAGCATGATTTTTTATCGTTCTGACTACTGCAATAAATTTTATTAATAGATACAAAATCATTTTATTTTTTGCAAGAGTTAAAAATTTTCACAGCACTGGATATCCAAACCAGAAACAGTCTTTCCATTTCTAGATAAATATTAAGACTATTACTGCCCAAAACTCATTATGCATCTGAACTTTTGCATTCATTACCTTCATTCAAAAAAACACCAAAGCAAGAAACAATCCAAATTTAAGTAGATTCTTGGCACACACATTATTTTATTGAGCAAACAATTGCGTACATTTTTTGTCTGAAGGTTACTTTTAAATAGTGAGCAAAGATTCATTTTATGAATTCTAAAAATGTTTAAAAATGGAAACAGTCAAAGGGTCCGTCTAAAAACAATCCAACACTCCTTTACATCTGACAGAAAAAAAGTACGCAGAAAAAAATTAATAAATAAATCAGTAAGTGAAAAATCCTTTGAGGCTTCACCAGAACTGACGTATCAGATCAGAATCAGCACAACAGGTTCTCTTTTCCTCACTCCGAACGTAGCCAGCCGATATTCAAAATCCCCTTAGACGAGATCAGTCCTTTCCTCTATTCCACGCACGTCCACCCTTTTGTTCCGAGGGGGCAGGGTGATCTGGAGTATGCCCTACATGTCCATAAAACTGGAAGGACATCATCCTTGCTTCGGTCGTCGGTTCTCGGCCTCTGAGCGTACTCTCGACATCCACTCCTTGTGGAAGTCGACATTGGTAAAGGCCGAATAGGTGACCGAGTTGGGCACGCCGGCCGAAACAATGCCGCGGAGGAACCAGGACGACGACGTGGGGTCCTTGAACGCGAGGCCGCCGCCGCTGTCACCCTTGGCCACCGACGAACCTGAAAGCACGGAGAGCACGTTGAGGGCCACAGGGCGGTCAGGGTGGGCGCGTGTAGAGGGTTAAGGGTTCTCATAGTTACCGTTGATGTTGCCCGCGCAGAACTTGTCGCTGGTGATGTAGGGCCTGAAGGTCTCGGGGATGCCGTTGAGGCACTCGTCGAACGGCACAAAGGGCAGGCGCGCCGACAGCAGCGTGGCGCTCGGCTGGCGGTCCCCGGTGCGGCCCCAGCCCACCGCGGTGCCCACGTCGCCCTTGCGCAGGCCGGACAGCGTCGAGCCCAGCCAGTCCACGCAGATGGGCATGACCACGGCGCTGATGGACACGTGCACCGTCAGCTCGACCAGCGCGATGTCGTCCGCGTAGTTGCGCGACTTGCCTCGGTAGCGGGTCGGCAGGTGGACCGTGCGCACCTGCGGGATCAAACGATTGGCAAACGATTGGCCAGGGTGATGATTGAACGTGTAGGTGTTCGAGCTCGCGGCCAAATTTTAGTGCCGCAGCTTCAACAGCCAGCTGGCGGGTAAATCGATTCGGTCCAAAGCAAAGGTCTTCTCCTCTTCGCGCCAGCCAGCCGACCGGAACACCCGCAGCCCGCGGCCGCGAGCGCTGCGAGCGCTGCCACCACCGGGTACTACTATACTCACGTCGCTCTTCTGCACGGCGCCGCGCTCACGGGCGTCCCAGTCCCGGAAGTACTTGCCGACGGCCACCTTGTACCGGGACGGCGGCATCTCCTTCTCCACGTTGTCGTCGTAGAAGCAGTGGGCCGCTGCGTCAACAGCAAAAGGCGTGTGAGCACAGCAATGCACGAAGTTACTCACCAAGTACACCGAACGTCTCGTCGCACTTGCACGTACCGGAGACGACCAGGTTGGGCAGCACGAGCGTGCCACCGCACACCTGGGTCACACCCTCCTTCTGCTCCTTGTCGTAGATGCCCGCGTGCCAGGGGAAGTCACCGATGTTGGCGTCGCTGCCGTGGACAATGAGCGTCTGGCCCTTGCCGATGGCCACGCCGCACTCTGAAACAGTAACGGTTTAGTCCGTGTTTCCCCTCGTCCTGGTGGACGCCCGCGGCGGCGGCCGGGGCTCCATGCCAAAGCTCTCACACAGCCCATGCTTGTTTCGCAGACACGATGCAGACTCCTTCACCGCAACGAGCGTCGAGGGCCCGAGAAGAATATGTTCATTTCAAAAGAAAATGTACGTACGCATTAGAAAAACATGGCAATTTATTTTTGATTGATGTATACACAATGTAGGAACACACAAAAATGAGCAATACACACACAAACACACAATGCAAAAGGCATTTGTTCCTATAAAATATTAAAAATAAAAAGTTAAACAAGCTGTGACTCATTGCAATAAAAAAACAGCCCATCCATTAGTTTGGTCTTGACATCGTTGCCCATCGCAGTAATTAAAGCCAAAGAAAATACAAAATAGAGAAAAGAAAAAGGAATCGCGATCAGATTGTGGCAGTATGGCAGATAAAGCTGCAAGGTCATGCATCGTCGCCCAGCACCCGCAGCAGGGGACTCCTACAGCCTCCGTAGTCGAAAAACGTCAGTCACCGGGCAAAAAAAAATAGTAAAAATAAAGATGAAATAAAGGAAAAGTTCCACCGCCTTTTAAATAACCGTTTACTTAATTGAGCAAAGAGGGCATGAGCATATATAGCATCACTTGGCAGGTCACGTAAACAGGCCCTTCTTCAAGAGCCAGCCTGGAGGAAGCTCTCCGCGCAGGTGTGTCAGATCTACGGGCACGACGCCCACCGGGACGACGCCATTGACGGAGTCCTCCGTGAACAACAAGAGAATGCCCCGCAAATCTGGGACAGCAGAACGGCAGAGCTTTAGACTGCGCGTGGGTTTAACTCAGGTAACATTGCCGATTATTGCAGAGCTATTCTCCTCTAAACGGTTGGGATGATGCACGGAGTAAGAAAAAACATAATCCTATAGAAATCGTTACGATTGAAGCATATACTACATAAATACATACTCTACGGACTTTGAGGTATCAAAAATAAACACTACGGAAAATGTTAAATTAAAAATATAAAAATACGAAAAAATATAAATAAAAATATCTCAACCACCCCAGATGCCCCAGACCAGACATAAAACCACACACATGCCCGACCCCGCGCGTGCTAGCACTAGTCTGAGAACACGAGGGCGTTGGTCAGGTTGCGGATAGGGTGCGGTGGCTTAAAAGTGGTGGCCGCGGCCGAGCCGGAGGCCTGCGCGTTGCTGACACTCGTCATCGGCGAGGTGTCAGCTCCGCCGCCACCGGTCAGGATCTCGGCGCCGGCCGCGGCCTGAGCAGTGCTCACACCGCCCCCCTGCCCGTGCCCGCCCCCAGCCTGCGCGCTGCCCGCGGCCTCCGACTGCACGCTGCTTACGCCCATGACGTGGCCGCTGCCACCGCCCGCCACCTGCAGGCTGCTGATGGCCGCGATCTGCGCGCTCGTCAGGCTGGTCGCCGGTGCGCTGCCGTTACCGCCGGCCAGGGCGGACGCCAGCGCCGACACGTTCACGTTCACATGCACATTGAGATTGACGACGACGGGGGCCCCGTGGGGCGCCCCAGCGGGAGCCTGACCTGGGATGCACTTGAACAGGGGCCAGTCCCACGTGCCGTCCGGCAGGCAGTTGACGGCGTCGTAGTCCGGGGTGGCGCCCGCCGGGAAGCGGTACGAGGGCTTGCACTGCAGCTTGGCGCGCGTCCCCGGCAGCTGGCCCTTGTCGCAGCGCACCGGCTTGCCGTCCTTGGCCGTGCACTCGAGATCCACGGACGTGGAGATGAGCGCGGGGCAGATCTCTGAAACACACAAAGAGCGGGCCGTAGCGCGGCGCCAGCGGGGCTGGAGGAGCTCGACAAGAGGTTGGGACGGGGGCGGGCTCACTTGCACACGTCGGCGGCTCGGGCGTCCACGTGCCGGACAGGCAGAAGGTGAAGTTGTTCTCGGCGCTCAGCTGGTAGCCCTGGTTGCACTCGTAGCGCAGCACGGTGGTGTGCGGCACGGGCGTGTTGGGCACGCCGCGGCACAGTGGCGTGCGGTCGCCGCCGGAGCAGCCGTCCACGCGGTAGCTGCCGCCCTGCAGCCGCTCGGGCAGGCGACACTGCGGGCTGTCGTTGGCGGCGGGCGGCGCCGACGGCTGCGAGGGGCGCTGGGTGGGCCGCGGCTGCGTCTGCTGCTGGGTGGGCCGCTGGGTGGGCCGCTGTGTGGGCCGCTGGGTGGGACGGGGGTTGGTGCTCCCGTTGTTGCCCGTGGACGGCCGCTGCCCGCCCTCGCACTGGTTCTCGTCCGAGCCGTCGGCGCAGTTCTCAACGCCATCGCAGCGCAGGTCGCGGTCGATGCAGCCTCCGTACGCGCACCGGAACGAGTACGACGGGCACCTGCGACCGGGGGCAACGTGATAGAGCCTAGCGCTTCTCGTGTACGCCAAACCAGACCACCTCCCTGCGCAAGGACTCACTTGACGCTGTAGCACTGCGTGTAGGTCTCGTCCGAGGCGTCCTTGCAGTCCCGCCGACCGTCGCACACTACCGTCTTGTCGACACACTGGCCGTTGGCGCACCGGTACTCGTCCGTCCTGCGGGGCGAGAACAGACCCGTGAGCGCGCTGCGGCAGGGGGCCGGCGGCGGACCCGCGGGGGAGCCCGGGCGCCTGGCGGGTAGGCAGCCGGAAGGCGGTGCGCACTCCTGCGCGACGGGACGGCCCGCTGCCCGGGCGCCTCACCTCCCGCCACCGCTCGCCCAGCTCCTACAACCTACCTGCATCCGCCGTTGAGGGACGATTGGCCGCCGTTGCTCAGGCCGACGCCCTGAGGACGGTTGCCGGGCCGGTTGCCCTGACCTCCTCCACCACCCTGGCCGCCCTGGTTGCCCTGGCCCTGGCTGCCGTCGCCCTTGTTGTGGCCCGGGTTGCAGATCCGGGGGTGCTCGTCGGAGCCGTCCGCGCAGTCCGTCACCCCGTTGCAGCGCGCGTCCGCGTCGACGCACGCGCCGTAGTCGCAGTGGAACGACAACCCCGGGCACCTGCGGGACAAGGTCAAGGTCAAGCGCGAGGGGGAGCCAAGAGTGTGTGCCATCCAAACAACCTGGCTCCACACTCGAAACGCTATTCAACTCACACAGCGTTCGAGGAGCAAATGTTCCGCGTCTCATCCGAGCCGTCGTCGCAGTCTCTCTTGCCGTCGCACACTCGGTCCGTGTCGATGCAGCTCCCCGACTGGCACCGAAAGCTGCGATCCAGAGAGCACCATTAATCCTTGTTGGGCGTGCCAGGCCGGGCATCGCTTACCAAACCGGCATAGACGATTTGAGCTATCTCTGGACAAAGGGAAATAATCAAGCCAGAAATGCGACCAGCACCATGCCCGCTCATGGGAAAGATAGACGCTGGCCAACACGATGCTAATTGATTTCTTCCAGAATAATTCTCCTTGTCTAGAGGTAGCTCACATCCGCTTCTAGCAAGTGCAGCGCTCCGCGCAACCCCTTGGCCCGGCATAAGTGTGCAAGTTGCCGGCCGCACCCACCTGCAGTCGCTCCACGCCTGCCTCGCGGTCCGGTTGAGGGACACGCTCTGCTCGCTCTGCTGCTGCTGCCACGCGTCTGAGGAGGAACAAGCAGGCTATCGTTAAAAGCAAAACGTTTGTTCGCTCCTGCGAATAATTGTACACAAAAAGGAAACGCGTCACCGTCTCATCTTAGAGCCGCGAGAGCTTCTAGCCAACCCCATATAGAACACAGCATGCGGATAACCTCCTTTCCTCTGCTGATAAATACTTTTCCAGTGGTCTGGCTTGTCACCGCCCGAGGGAGAGGGGCAGACGAACTCATCTCCTAATGGACACCCACCAATCCAGAACGGAAGAGACTGCGAGGTGAGGGAGGGGAGAGGTGGGGGGGGG